TTAATATGTGTGATGTTACAGTAACTAGCTATGTACATGCCTCTTTTTCTTCATTAATTACATGCCACATTATCTATTTTGTCTAGATAAATGCGATGTTAACGTCTATATTACTCTCAGTGTGGATAATCTTAGGTGCGGGCTAATATTTCGCAGAAACAACCTACATGGTGGTTCTAGTTCTAGGGATGCAAAATTGAAGCCTTGAAGGTACTTTCAGACTCTCCTTAATTCAAATAAATGAACTAAATCCCTTCGACCGTCATTTCTCCTTGATTCAACTGAATAAACTAAATCCCTTTTACCCTCTTTTCGCCTTAATTCAACTAAATAAACCAAATTACCGGGCACCATAAATAATTGTTCCAAAATTTCATGCCTAGCTCTCTTCCGTCCAGAAGAACCAGGTATCTAGGTTTCTTTTACAGGGACACGATGTCTTGCCTAGCCTTTTTCTTTCATTTTTTTGAAACTCTACCATGTCTTAGCTACTGTAGCCGATCAAACTGCCAGCGGAATCTCGAAGCCATATCCTTTTTCCGTTGCTCGCTCGCTCGCACCGATGCCGCCGTCCTCGGCTCTTATCCCGGCAAAAAAAATTCAACCGGAAGCTTCGCACCGAAAGCAACGTCGGAGACCCTCCGCGCCGTCCGATGGAGGCGACGGACGGCGCGCGCCGTCCCGCGCCCCCGCGGGCTGATCATGGCCGTCCGCTCATGATCGGACGGCCAACTTCCCCTCTGCCCCCGTCGGTCTCCGGCTCTATATAATTTTCTCTAGCCCCCTCCGCAAGTGACGTGACGTCGACACCCAATCTCATCCCACCTCTCACCTCCTTCTTAACCTCCCTCATCTTCTTCCTCCGCCCGCCCCCCACCCCCCGCAGCCCGCACCGCAGCGACGCAATCTCGCCGATCGGTCCTCGCCCCCCTCGCTCGATCCTCGGAGGCGGCGGCGCGCGCGCGTGCGGATTGGATTCCCTTCCGAGGTCGGTTCAAATCAAGCTCCTTGTTTCTCCGTCCTGCTGTTGTTGTTGTGATTTTTTTGGGCGGTGTAGATTGCGTCCTCTGCCTGATTCTAGCACCGTTGTGCGCCGCGGGATTGTTTCTCGTGGTGGATTCTCGGATGCTGCAATTGAGCTGGGTTGGCTCCGTGGCTCGCGTGTGTCTAGCTTCGCCGCCGCCGCCTTGGCACCAGCTGCCCGGCGGTGCTTCTCCAGGAAGAAGCTCTCGCGATGTTTCCCCCCCTCTTCTCATGGGTCAAATTAGCCGTGGTGATGCCCTGTTTCTCTAGGGAAAGGATTTATCTTGTTCATTTCCTCTGTGAAATCAGGGGGCGCAATCCTTCCGACCGTATCGCCGTGTTTACGAATTCAGGGATGCGAAACTCGTTTTCCTCGTATTGACTCCGGGGACATTTTATGCCTGCTCCTCCATGCTCCGTTGCTTTTGCCTACCGAAGCTAGATATTTTGGGGTCAAACTCCTCTCTCTTGCATTGAGATTGGATACAGCGGTAGAGCCTAGTAATATCTTACTTGGAGTGGAGGAAAAGAAATCCTGTGGGCATGTTCAGTAGAATGCTCAATGCCCATTGAATTGCCAAACCGTGTTTGGTTGTACAATATTGCATTATATGCAGCATCAATTCACAGCGTGCATAATAATTGTAGTGGTAGACAGCACAATTAAACGCAGCAGATCTGTGTGCTTGGAAGCTTGTCTCTGAAGGATCACATCGGTTTCAGTTACTCTGTTGGCTAGTATCAGTTCTTGCTGCGGTATAGGAAAAAGTTGTGCTCTGGGTTTGATATGTGCGTGACTTATATGTAATTAAGGATGCGTGTTTAAATTAGGAAGGCATTACCGAAGTCCACTTGTGTATATTAATATAAGTAAGTATATAAAATTAGTAGTACTTGCACACATGGGCCATGGTGGTTGGGATATTTCCACTGACACTGCTGGGCAATTAATCCCCTGTTTCCCGATCCTAACACAGTAGGGCGCCATTATCTCTTGGCTAATATTCTTTTTTGTGGTCACTAGATATGTTAAATGATGATCCTTTTGGTCTACTTGGCCCCCTCGAATATGCCAAGCCATTTAGCTAATCCGTCGTTGTTGCGGTGCACATCACGATCCCCACCTGTTGTTGTTTTTCAATGATTCAATCGTGAGAGGAACCCCACAACCACATAGAAAGATCAACGTGCTACGGAAGCTTATGCCGAAGATTGGGACGGGGCATCTCCGCCTCTCCACCCGCTCCTCCTTGGTGGTCTTCCATGGCTAATAGCACCGAATATTCAATTACAGTAGCTAGGATCAGCTTTAATCTTCTGGCCAGCACCTGCAAACGTTGGCTTAGTCAAACTATGCAAAACCACGGATGCATATTATAGAATGCAAACTGTGTTCCATGCCTTTCTTCCGGAGGTAACTCTAAGCCGCCATTCATGGCTCTTGCCTTGAGCATGGGGGCAGTCGAATACTGCGGCGTGACACGATGGGCATAAGCTAGTGGTTTCATTTTCCCTGGTGATTCAGGTTTCCCAGGAAGATATGCTAGGATGGCATGTCAGTACAACCTAAAGTGGCTTAGGGTTAGGAATAACAAAGAGGATAAAGACAGAATGCAACATCTGTAGCCCTTGTACTAATTATTACTAAAGAAATCAGAGCATCCACAGCTATTGACTCAGCCTGCTGAGAAAGATGGTGGGTTCTTCAGTGGGGAGTCCTCAGTCCATTGCTTGCGAAAAGGGTAATTGGAGTGCTTATAGTTACTCTCTGGCACATCGACATGGAATCCATGGGCTTTACCTAACATCCGCTCCACTTTTCACACTTGTTAATGTGAGTGGATAGACTCCTCAGGACAGGATGATGTGGCGTGGGCCTTGATGCTGCCTGTTATCTGAACCCCCTTTGTTGTTTAGCAGGCAGCCGTGTCTGTACACCCCCTCTCCCTCGAATTTTAGGATATATACTAAGCACTACATGGCTGCTTGCTGTGTGCCTTCCAACTCTTCTTTCTTGGTGTTTATCTAGTCCTTAAACACATGGTTATAGGTGTGTTCACACGTTATCGACATTTTAAACGCCTTGACAGCTTCATGATTAGTCCCACTTTTCTGACTTCTCCTTTGTATTACATGTGTTCCTACTGTCTACTGACCTCTCGTTCTATTTCTATTTGATTGCAGTACCGTGAGTTCTTCGACCAGAATTGTTTGCGACAGATAGCATCCTGATTGTTATGGAAGGTGGGGGAATGGACCAGGTTTGCATGGCTGCCATGACCAACCAACCTCCAGTGTCCGATAACAAGCCAATGAAGAACATCAGTGGGGAGATGCCTGCAGCCGCGACCGCTGGAAGCGGCTCCTTTGACTGCAACATCTGCCTCGACTTCGCTGCAGACCCAGTTGTTACCCTCTGTGGCCATCTCTACTGCTGGCCCTGCATCTATGAGTGGCTGCGCCCATCGGTGGTATCAGCTTCTGGTGCCAACAGCACTTCAGCAAGGCAGCAGTGCCCTGTGTGCAAGGCCGCACTATCTGCTGACAGCCTCGTGCCGCTCTATGGCCGTGGTGGTAGCTCGAAGAAATCACTGGATGGCATGGCCATTCCTCGACGGCCAACGGTGCATCGGGAGAATGTTGCGCACCAGCACGCACAAAGCAGCATCGATGATGACCGGCACCATCACAATGTGGAGCCCAGCCCTCTGCTCCGGCCACTGCGGCATGCGCACCACCACCATCCTGGTGCCACCGAATTCGACTTTGTCTACCCTCCTTCGCCAATGGGGCGTGGCCTGATCCACTCGACGGCCGGAGGGGTGCTTGGAGGGATGGCAGAGGCAGTGCTTCCGTGGGCGTTCCGCGGCCAGGTGCCGCCGAGCATGTACTACACAAGCCCCTACGCTGTCGCGGACCACACCTTGGGTCCCCGGCTGAGGAGGCAGCAGATGGAGGTGGAGAGGTCCCTGCACCAGATCTGGTTCTTCCTTTTCGTGTTTGTGGTCTTGTGTCTGCTCTTGTTCTGAAGCAGGGCGAGAAACTCTTGTTCTGAACTGAAGAGGCGGTATACGGCTTGTGTATATATTGGAAGGCGTGATATACTGCCTCTCGAGGAAAAAGAAGGCAAGATACTAATGAATGGGTGTCACTTATATAGTGATGAAGAGAGGGTAAGGAATGGTTAATGCTCTTAACGGTCTCTATCGATAAGCATGCGTCTAAATCATGCTGATATATAGAGTTGTAATATGAAAGACTTGGAGGTGAAATGCAAATTTCATTCTTGTCTTGCCTCAGTACCAGGAACTCCATTACCTGAACCATGCAGATGGCCTGTTTTGGTTTGCCTGCATCTGTCACTACCAAGTAATGCAAAATTTCCTCAGTCTGGGTTTTATTTCCAGAATCTGCATTGTTTTTGCATTGGTTGGTGGTTTGCTGCTACTGGATTTACGTTTACGAATCTCCCCATTCGTTGTTTGTGCAATGAATGTGTTGACATTTACGTACATTTTCAAAACATCTCAAAATGCACATTGTAGATTTGCAAATTGAATGACACGAAGAATATTGCGCATCAGAAAAGAATTTTCTTTTTATGTTAGAGACATTTCAATTAGTAGCCGTGCCCTACTTTTATCGACAAGTGTTTGCCCAACTGCATCTTTCTGCACGGTGCAAGGAGAAGTCATGTGCATCGTGCATTGTGGCCTCCGCCTGTGCGGTGAGAGGGCAGCAGCAGCACAGTAGTAGATACCACCTTCCATGTGCTCGGCGGTGTACTGAACTATACTGATTATATGTGTTCAAAAGAGGAACTATACTGGTTATGTTTGCCAACGGCGGCAAAATCTTAGAATCTTAACAGAGTAACACTGACCAATATGCATGACAAGTGATAATCATCCCACAAGAGATGACACATCAATAGCTCAATCCATTTGCGCAATAGTACGGTTACATGAGCTGCTAATTCAGTTTTTGTACCAGTCAAGAAACAGAACAGAGAAAGTAAGAACAAAGAAGAAAAGCAGGAGAAAGGTTCTACTGCTGTTGTTCCGCTGGATCGCCTGGGATAGCTCCTTGTTCCCACGCTCCACGTTGTTCGTTGCTTCCACTGCCTGAGAAAATGCATAGGATGTGCCGTAAGAGGAGAAGCAAAGATCGACTGAAAACTTATCACGAGTCATTCATAATTTATACAGACGAATCAGATAACTTTGTGTCCTTTTTCTTAAGGCAATGACTTTTTTTGTCCTGTTGAACTTGGCAGGTTATCAAGTAAAGATATTGACGATTTCCTAGATCAGACAAAATAAAAAAGGAAAAATTCTTATTGGATGGATCCTGTTGAAGGTTCAGTTGATAAGAAACAACATATACATAATCATGTACGCTCTGAAAACAAATATAAGACGTTTTAGAGACTTTGGAGGACATAAGCAAATGTTGTGCGCTCAAATGCTATTACTACCATCTCATTGTAGGATTTGAATTTTTATATGCTATTATCTGTTGTCTCTTATTATCCTCCAAGAATATGCTGCGTTTTGAAATTTTGATCCCGCATGAATAACCCTAGTTTGCTATTGAAATTTGAATGGATATATCCTATGCCACCTACAATTGAATTTTTTCAAGAGTTCTACTATAACCAAGATTTTCCAGGAATTCACAAAACTTTGAGAACTGATACTTTCACTAGAGATGTCCTAGTCTCTTCTCTTGAATAACAACCAGATGTTGGCTTAAACTGTTGCACAGATATCATACCTGGTCGTATAAATATTGAATCTGCTGAGCTTGCTGTAGAACATGTGTTGACATAAGATGATTAAGTGCTGACATCTCTATCATCTTTGTCTCCGTTTCTTGGACAGTATCAAGAAGATTGGTCAACTCCATCTGAGCCAAGAGTTACAGGAAAGTAAACAAGCTGACTTATAACAAATTGTATCTGAGACAACATTATTTTGTGTCAATTGCCCAGGCAGTACAAAAATACAAATTCCCCAGTACCGTTACCAAAAGCGTGCAATTTGCCAAAAGCACAAAACGCAGTATCATCAGGAGAGAGAAAACACCTGAAAGGTCTAATTTGCCGTTCGGTTCAGGACACTATTTCTCATTTCCTTTGTGTATCCGTTTATTTTATTTGCACTCCATTTAGCCATGTTTTAACCTACACATTTCACCATTTTGTATTCATTTTTGTTAAGAAAAATTCACCAGCTGATATAACCACATATATCACAAGTAATCAAGCGCACATATACCACTACGCGTATCTCCTACGGTCCAACCTACATGAGCAATTTAACAAATTTCAACACACATGTCATTCCTTCTAAGAAAATTCACCAGCTGATATCACTACACATATCACAAATACACACTATTTTAATCAACTGAAATAGCTTGGTTCGGTCAAGCAAGAAACGGAAATGCCATTTTCCTCTCTTCCTAGCTCAAGATATATTATTTTAACAATGGCAGTGTATTCTAGCAGACAAATTTAGTACAACTTTGAAATAGCTTGACTCAGTTTTTTCTAATGGTGATGCTTTTGCAATGCATCTGAGCAATTGACACAAGATAATGGTGTCCCATGGCAAATTTTGCCTAGTACTCACTCCGTCCCAAAATAAGTGTTTCAACTTTAGTACAACTTTGTACTAAAGTTGAGACACTTACTTTGGGACGGAGGGAGTATATATTATATCCCATCCAAATATTACCTGGAGAGCTCGTGTTTCATCGTCCAAGAGTTGTTCTTGAACTCTTAAGGGCGCAGTTGATACCTCCCGATCTTCAACCTTCGAGACATCAGATTTCAATACAAGGTTTGACTTGGATGGTTCAGTAGGTTTTATTTCTGGCTTCTTCTTAATCTTCTTTCTTGGCATCACCCTATTAATAGCTTCTTGAAAGCGCAGGGACCTAAGGCGATCAAATTGTGCAGTTACTGAGTGGAGACGCTCGCTCAAAATCAAAACCTGGTAAAATTATTGAACAAAACACATCTTATTGGAAGTGAGTATAAGAAAATCTATACAGAACAAAGAGGATAGTCCAGAAAATATTACTTAATTGTAATACAAATTTGATATAGAGAAAATGCTATTTAAAAAGAACAGAGTGATGTATTTTCCTACATGAAGCTTTCCTGATGCATATCTGAACTAGGAAGCAGAGTTCGTTAACAATCAAATTCAGCTGCATTGACTGGACAATCTATCAAGTTCTGATGCATTTGTTTTATCCCACCAAATGATATCAACTGAAGGTATGCATATCCTTCTACAGTACTAAACAGGCATAATATACAGGACTCGTTCAGTATAATCCACCGAAATATGTACAAATATCAGCTCAGTAACGCATGTATAATGACTGCCTGGAATTTCTGAAAATACAGAGAAAATTAGCGACTATACTTTGCCGAAACAGAGATAAAGGGGAGCAACATCATGCTTCTATATGTTTTTGCGTACAGGAAAAATTGTTAATTCTAGTAAAATTGTCAACATCATGCTTCTATATGTCTTCTACCTTTTGTGATATCATAATCTCTGAAATACTAAACTAATCCAACAGGCAGTGAAATGTCATTTTAAGAGGAACGATCGAATGGACATAACCATGACAGTGAGACTTCGCTACTATATTCTGCCTAGTACCTACGTGGTTCCACACACTAAAAAGCAGTAATATCAGAGCAATGCTGTATTTCACTGTAAATATCTGGCAGTAGCTGAACAGTGGGGAGCATAATAGTCATACCACACCATGCTGGTGAGCTATCAAGTCTAACCGGGAAGTCTCATCTCTTGTGCCAAGCCATGTGTTCGCTCTTCTATTCCTCTCATCTTCAAGGATCCTGTTCTTTAGGATATCTATCTGTTCCTTGCATGCTTTTACAAAAATACCAACCTAAAATATGTTCAATAATCAGCTAAGTAAGAAATGGAGAAAAGAACTTAGCGATTACCTAAATTTACAAGAACACACAGTCCTTACCTGTATGACTATATTGTCAACTCAATAGTCGATACAGTATACAAAGATGCATATACAACCTAACAAACTGCATATATTTACAGTTTTACAACAAAGATAATAAATAATTATGCGCTGCTATGCTCTGTAACAAATTTAATCCTCGATTTCTAAAGTAATCAAGGAAGAGCTGAGAAAAAACTATAACATTGCAAAAGAAGACAAGATGACAAACTGGAACTCAACTAGTAATACATATGTGGCATGTTGCAAGCTATTGTCACAAAGAATCATCTAGCAACTAGCTCAGTTTAGAATAAATACATCAATCCCCAAACAAGGAGAAAAGGTAAATCAACAGACAATGCAGAGTAAGCTTGAAACTTACTTCATGCTCAATGTTGTCCCTCTCTTGCTCCGTGGTGCGATGCATGTCCACATAGTCCCTCCTGTGCTTCACTATAAACTTCTCGAGCTCCCTGATGCTCTCAAGCTACACCGACAGAACCCAGCAATTAGACTGGCAAGCTCCCACAATCTATCAGGACCATAAGCTTGGGCTATTGCCTTCGGTTCCTGTTGCGCTCAAAACAGAATAGCGCAAGAGCAGAGTTCTACCGTCTTGATTGCTGCATTTGTGAACGGCGATTTGGGCGACGGCTTCCGGATGATGAAAGACGACATGAGCGCGGCCAATTGCGACTGCGAAAATGAGAATAAAATCAACACAATGGATCGTAAATGATGAGACTGTTCTTGAGGCAGTAACTGATACACTAGGTTCCAGTGCAGAGGAGAGATGGCGCAGGCGTGCGAGGTGTCATGTTTGGCATACGAGCTCACCTCCGTGTAGCCATGGGAGAGCGCGGCGACGCGAACGGACTCCTTGAAGTCCTCCGTCCTGTCCCGGACCCTCGACATCGCCAAGGCAGCGGCGCCCACGGGGCTCCTCCCACCAGATCCGCGTGCGCTGAAATTCAAGAGCCGGCGAGCCGTGGCAGTCCTGCACCAGCGAGCTAATAAGGTGAGAAAACCTCGTGAGGGATCTGCGCCGCGGATCGGCGACGCTCGAGAGCGGCGGCGGGTCGCCGGCGCGTCGGATCGGGCGGCGAGGTGCGAGGTGGGAGGTTTGGTCGAAGGAGAGGAAGACAGACAGGGGCGCGAGGAGGAGGAGGAAGGAATACGTGTACAGGAGGAGTATGGCCCACCTGTCAGCGTGACACCGGTTCACTGGCGACTGGGCCTGTGGAAACCAACCAGGCTATCTCGTTCTCACACTCGCCACTCTGCGAGCCGCCGATCCGTCTCGCGTTCGCCACCTCGCTCCCGCTCTCGATCGTTCGCTCCGCGACGCGGAAACGGCGAAACCCTAGGGCGGGTAGGCATGGCCAAGGACGAGAACGGCTCGGCCCCGGATGGTGCCGGCAAGGAGGAGGGGGAGATAGCGGCGGCGCGCAGCCGCAGCCGCAGCAAATCCCTAGAAGCCGCGGAGGAGGAGGAGGGGCGTTCGAAGGGGAGGCGACACCGGGGCCACCATGGCAAGTCAAAGAGGCGTGACGAGGAGGAGGGGAGCGAGAGCTCCGACGAGGACTCGGGGGAGCGGCGTAAGCGGCGGAGGAAGGAGAAGGAGCGGCGGCGGCGGAGGAGGGGGAGCCGCAGCGAGAGCTCGGGGTCGGAGTCGGAGTCAGAGTCTGAGTCGTCCTACTCGAGTTCCAGCGCGGAGTCGGAAAGCGAGTCGGAGGAGGAGGAGGAGAGGCGAAGGAGGCGGCGGCGGAGGAGGAAGGAGAAGGAAGAGGAGGAGAGGAGGAGGAGGAGGAAGGAGAAGGAGAAGAGGAAGAGGAAGGAGAAGGAGAGGGAAAAGGATAAGAAGAAGAAGAAGAGGAAGGATGAGAAGAAGGATTTGGGGAAGAAGGCTGCAGTGACCAACTCGTGGGGCAAGTATGGCATCATCCGTGAGGTTGATATGTGGTGAGGATCTTGCTTCTTAGCTCTTCTTTTTTGCTTCTAGATCATCATTTCTTAGTTTTAGGTTTTCACAAGCCAAGATGTAGAATATTATGAAATTCATATCTGTCTGGTAGATTTGCATGAGGCTATGTTAGTTAAGGATGAAGGTGCGTTGTGTTGCGGTGGTGCTGTGCTTGGCCGCACTGCCCAGCAAAGATTTTTGCATTATGTCGCAGCCTGCAGCACGCACCTTCTTTGTCGCCTTTGATGAGTGGATTCGTTGAGCCTGCAAACTAGAAACAATTTTGCACAAACCAATGGAAATCCCTGAAACTGCTGATGGTTGTGGACTGATCTTCTCCAGGGCTAGCTAGTATGTTGATCTATCACTGGCCAAAGTGTTATCTATCACCTATTCATCATAGATGAGCACAACTGCACAGTTTGCTACTGCCACTCATACACGCTGATATATTGCATGAATCAACAATTCATCACACCTGGAGTGCAGACTGTATTAATACTGAAAAATATTCACAACCATTATGTTGTAAATAAAACAAAATTTTGTGTCGTTCTCACTAACCAAAAAGTTCATAATAGTAACTGATTCTTGCAGCTATATAGAATCACAATAACAGAGCAAAATGACAGATAAATCACTTGTTTGTTTCTCCACATCCTCTCTAAGCCGTAGCTGGCTTCTCCTTCTCCAAGCTTCCTGGATTTGCGACCAGGTAGCATGCATCAGCCACAAATTGGAAAAAGAATCGAGCAAAAGATGAGCACGGAAGACGGAAACATCCTCTTATTGGAGAGCCCTACCACCCTCTGTTTTTAAGGCGTCCCGCCTTGGACGCTTAGGCGACGCTTAGGCGATAAGGCGCCCCGCCAGCGCCTTACAAATATGCCCGCCTTAGGCGCTTAGGCGTCCGCCTTAGGCGCTTAGGCGTCGCCTAGGCGATAAGGCGCCCCCCCAGCGCCTTAGATCGCCTTACCGCCTTAAAAACATAGCTACCACCTCTATGTGAGTGCCATAAACCTAGCGATGAGGCCGCACAACCATCCATGCCTGATGACGAGCCAGTGTGTTACTCGCGGATAGTGGCGATGGGTGAGTGACCTAAGTCTTTGCCTTAAAAGAATAATCCTGGAATTCCATCTGTCTTCTGGATTTGGAGAAGTGCTGATTTTCAAGAACACAGATCTTATGATATGGTGGGAATCTGTTATGATAATCATCTGTGCCTTAAACTTATCCTAATGCCTCAAAGTTGGATATTGATATGTGTGAGCAGCAGTGGCTTCATGGATGGTTGCACCTAGCCACTTAACATAAGCGGCTGTCGCAAATGTCCACTTAGCTGTTCCATGTGGGTTGGGGTAGGGGGTGGGGGGTGGGGGGAGAGTGGCCCATGGGCTGTCCGCTGCCACTCGCAACCCTATTGGTAATCGATTTAATTCTGTTTTAAGTATTTATCTTGTCAGTTGTTTAAGTTATGATAAATATGAAATCTTTGAATTGTCATATGCAAACACCATTGCATGGCCAATGCGAGTCAGAAGTAGAATCATTCTGTAATCATTGATTTGCTGACATCAAATTTAAGTGATGAATCCCCGTGACTGAGACCGTGAGTTTAGAATGTAGACAACCAAATTAATACTTTTTTAATGTTTCAACTACTGTACTATATTCTCATGAGTTGAACCATGCAATATATTCTGTAGGAACAAGCGTCCAGAGTTCACCGCATGGCTATTAGAAGTCAAGCAGGTATATGTATTTCTATCGCTCTTTTGATGCTGTCTTTCATAGAAACATGGATAACTTATGTGCATGCAAAAAAAGGGTCAGTGTAAACAAGGCGAATGCCACTGTTTTACATGGTGCTGGGCCAATTAATTAGCCCCAAAGGAAATATTTATCTAGGAACCAGGACTAGTGTTCTTTCAGTAGACCTTATTTATTGTCTTCAGCAAAAAGTTTCATCGCCGTGAAGTTAGTTGCTCATTGGTCGGTGAGTGTTTGGAGCTTAAGTTAACAAAACACGATATTTGTTCTCCCTCTTTCTTTTGGTATGCCCAATTTAGAGTTTCTTTCAAATTGTGCTGCTCTATTGGATCTTATTTTGGTTATGCCCAATTTCTCTTATTCTAGTTCTGTTTTCACTTATCAGGTCATATAGAGCAGACAAATGTTATGTTACTTGATTGGTACTGCTCATTAGCTTAGTGTCATGCTCTCAGGCTTTTTACTCTCAGTCCTGTTTAGTGTTTTTCTTGCTTATGATGTCACTGCTAATTTTATAAATTTTGGTAATGCGCCCACAGGTTAATTTGGAGGCACTGGCTAATTGGGAAGAAAAACAAATGTTCAAGGAGTATGTTACTGTGCTGCCATGAAATTACTTGAGTTTCTGGAACTTATAAAATATCACCCTGGAATTACTTAGAGTTTAACATACATCTTTATGTGCATATCAGATTCATGGAAGACCACAACACAGCTACATTCCCATCAAAAAAGTAATGCACGTTTCTTTTCATAGACTGTTATTATATATATTCATATTTGCTAATGGAATTTATGTTTCTCCTCCTTTGTTCTCTTGTTAGATATTATGACTTAGATGCTTACCATCAACGGATGATGGAGAAAGAAAAAAGGAATGGTTTAAAGAATGCGGGTTCGGTAGCAGTCCGTACAGTATTTAATGATGAGGAAGTACGACGGTATGTGGACATGCACATATTTTGGGTCTGTATACCTGCAATAACAGAGCATGGGACACCATAAATGCTTCAGTGTAAATTACTGAAGTTTACTTTACCTGTAGACCTGTGGTAATAAACTATTAACCGGCCTATGTTCCACTCATTTCGGGCAATCGAATTGTTTTTGTAGCCAATTACTATGTCACAGTAACTCCAAATTGTGAGCCTGTTATGCCATGCAATGTTCCACAGAAATACAATTACGAAATTTTTCTGTATTAATTGGTTTCAGAGTTTATCACCTTTTTTATCATTGGCTTACAGTTTTCTGTAAAAAAATCATGCAGGTTAGAACTGTTGCAAGAACGTGAACGCCGAAAGGAGGAAGAAGTGACAGCTCTAAAACGCTCCATGCAAACTGGAATGGTTAGAATATCACAGTTTTTCTTTTCTGCTCCTATTCCCATCCTTCAGTTTATCCTCTGAACTTGGGAGTTATTTTTAGAATGCTCATTGGCAGTGTCTCTTGTTCTGTCCAATATCTACACTAAAAAGTGTCTCATTGACTGCATAAGTTTGACCGTGCAGGCTGCCCAATTTTGTTGCATCGTTAGCATACAATTTCTTTCATGTATCCTAGACGTGTTAAGTCATCCATGAATGAAACGCAGTTGTAAGTTCTGTCTTGGGTACTAACTCACTCGGTTGCTTGATGCCAAGTGGCACCAATTTATGTTCATATTTCTGTTCTGTTGGGAACATATGTACTATTGTGGGCTTGAACCTATGAGGTTATGACCTCAAGTCCTCAACCACTGCCATGTGCTCGGTCATTATGTTATATAGGTGCATCGTCCTGTTTTTTGGAATCTTCCCTTGTACAATAGCTGGGAATCCCCGAGTGTTGCTTTGTAAGGTTTACCTAATCCAGGTTTTTTGTTAGGTGTGCTATTGAACATATGACTGCAATTGTGCTTACATCCTGCTAGGCTGTGCACTATCTTCTGATGATACGATCAGCAATAGATTATTATGCAGACACCAAACATTAGTATGGGTTTACATGAAAGTCACTTTTTGTTCAATCAATCAATTAACCTATTATTATTCTTGTTTTGCTCCTCATATCAGGCTCAAGCGATGAAGCAGCAGTCCCTTCTACGTGAGGAAATGATGTTACAGTACAAGTTGGGCAATTTCGAGGTAATGCCCTCATTCCGACCCTTACTAAAATTTCAGTTGGATGGAAAATGCGCACTACTTATGCCAAGCTTTTTTTCTTTACCAGGCCGCAGCTGCAATCCAGAAAAGGTTGGATCCTGATGCTCCCCCTCAATAGGCGTCTTGTGGACAGACATGCCATTTTCTCAGAAGTTATTTCTCATACATCTTCATGAGCAACATACTGTGATGTACCGCAGTTTATTTGCACAAAAAGTATATTGGGCTGGCTTGGAAAATGCTGCTACTGTACCTGTACTGTATAATTTTGAAAATTTTGCTCGTTAGTTTCAACAAGTTGTGCTGTATGCATCAGTTTGGCACATTGAGCTGTAAGATTTTTCGAAGGTTTTCTATTACAGTTCCATAGGCATCTCATTGTCTTTTTTTTTTCTGAATTCATAGGCATCTCATTGTTTGTCGCCTGGTGTGGCAACTCGTGCCAGTGACTCATGAGTTGGGGCTTTCAATGATGCGCTTTAACCCTTAGGCTATCAGCTTTTAAACTAAACTATATTCATGTACGAGGGTATGCGCGCGACTGTTGGCTTTTAGTGCTGCGGCAGCATAGTTTGGCTTGTTTTAACGTTGTGCTAGGTATGAAGAATATTGCGATGCAAAAAGCAACCACCTTTCTTATGCGTGAATAGATTAAACAGGAAGTGAATTCGAGAAGCAACCACCTTTCATATGCTTGATTAGAGAAGCAACAGTGAGTTTCTATCATCAAAGTTTTTAGTCTTGTTTCAGAAATGGTGTAACAGTGAAAGGCGCGAGATGAAATAGGTGGCAGATAGCCATTTTTTCTCTTCTTGAAACCGACTGATAGCCATTTTGATGACCTGTGTGACGTTAGGCGGAAAATGACCAAAGCGTCTCAACAACACAAATATAATCTATCAGAAAATCACCATGACTTTGAGGGAAGGAATTAAAACAAGAAGGCGAAATAATAATAATAATAATCAAGGAGATATAAAACAAGGCTAAATATAGATCACACTGACAGACAATTTTTCACATGCATCAAAAGCTGCCTCAAAACAGATCCAACAAACCAAATCACAACCACAACCGAAAAAAAAAAGAGCACAAGGCCAGACGGCTATCCTATCAGGCAGTACTACATGAAGCAACTAGTGGACTGGAGCGAAGGAACGAAGCACACATCGGGTGAGATGCGATGGATGGATCGATCAGCGCTTGATGGCCTTGACCTTGTTCCACGTCTTCTTGCCGAAGTCGCCGACGACCCTGACGCCCTTGAGCACCGCCACCTTCACCTCCATGGTCCGCTCCTTCACCTGCCGCTGGAACCCTCCCATCCCTTCTCTCTTCTCTTCTCTTCTTGGTCGGAGAGGATTCCTGTGGGCTGTGGCTCGCTGGAGGAGACAAAGAAGAAGACGACGGCGATTGGCGATTTGCCGGGTTGGGTGGCGAAAATGTCGTGCGGATGGTGGTGGGCTAGCACTGGGGAATGGGGATATATATTAGCCGGTGCGCGTTTGCGTGTGGACCTGAGCCGGATGGCGGAGGCTGAGCTGTAAAGCATGAGGTGTGGTGTACCTGCGGGCTGCGGCGGCGGTTGAAGGATGGTTGGATGGATTGCCAGGGAACCAGCTTGAATCACAAGTCATAAACTTAAAACCTAAAAAAAACAATTCACAAACAGGAGCGTGGTATACTAGCAGTTGGGGCGGGGAGAAGATCTGTGGGCCTGGTGCACGGGCACAGCTCACTGGGTCCAGCTGTCAACGGGTGCTGGCGGCTGCTGTTCCGGTTCTCAAGTGTGTCGTCGCTTTTTTGAAGGAGGGCTGGTCCATGTGCTCCGGAATCCAGCAACGGCGCAACGACCCGGGCGCCAAGCGCGGAGCCAAGGCGACAGGCGTGACATGTGGCCAACGCATCGGCACAGTTCGGGGGGCCCAGCTGGCAACGACTGCTGTGGTGTGCAATTACTCCGGATTATACGTACGACAATTCACATACGAATTCTGTCCGACGGAGCAGATCAAACCGCATGTTAGTTCGACTCGAAGTCCAGCGACGGCCGGATGTTGCATCGTACCAAATCGGACAAGCCATGGTCGTACGTGTAGTAGTTTCGATTGCTCCGGCCCTCTCCCCGTTCGTCTGGTCTTCTTCTTCCTCCCTTGGTTTCTAAACAAAGGATGTGGGTCCTGGGATGGGAAACTTTGGCTAGATATTTGATGCCTCGCGTGCCGGCAATTGCTGCCCGAGATATTTCCTCGATGACACGTCGGTGAAGAATCATGTATACCCCTGTTCTGCTCCCTCGGTGAGCTTTGACCTGGATCGCAGTCGCTCATGTATACCCTCTTCTCTCGGTGACGAGTGGCACGCACGTTTCTTTCGATGAAGAACTCTCCACTTGGCATTATCCATCGAGCATATGCACCAGCACATTGGCACGGTCCTGCTCGTGCCACCACACTCGCAGCTGTGACTGTGAGAAAGCATCCTACAACGGCATGGGAGAGCGTGCCATCCGACGACCGAGCGGCGATGGCGGAATGTTGGGGGCGCCCCCGGCTGATGGGACCAGGCGCTAAACACGACCCACCTCCCCCCTCCCCCGTGTAAGAGCATCTTCAATGATTGTAAGATAGTTGTTGGTAGGCTTTGTCACATAGGATTTTTGATGATGTGTCATACAATAAATGAGAGAAGAGAGAAAGATTGTACTCCCTCCATCACAGTTTGTTGGGCGTATCTCACGTCGCTCTGGGCCCAAGATACGGCGCGATTGGCAGGAAATAACGAGGCGCTGGAGCTGCGATATTGAAGGAGATGCGTCTAATTAATCGCATGCACACGGCCATGCGGAGCAAACCACAAACTGATTCCCACTTGCGGCCTGTTCATACTTGCATGTGCTGCACAAATCCATCCATGTTCCCACTTGCATGCGCTTCAGGAAGAGAAACGGAAGGAGTTTAATCAACAGCCAAAACACCCCAACTAATACTCTAATTAATGACCTGCGCCCTATTTCCTTCCGTTTGTGAAAAATCCTGGTTTTGGAGATACGTCCAACAAACTGTGATGGAGGGAGTATGTACATTAACCAACACCCTTTGCACAAGCTTTAATGTAGAATAAGAGAGCACCTTATTTATTATCTCATATCTTATTAGGCAAACTACATACAACTCATTGAAGTTGTTGTATATTAAGGTGTTGGTTGATGACATGGTATATTTTACCAACAAGCTAACATATAGACTGTTGGAGATGCCCTAACCTCTACCACTCCTACTGTAAAAGAAAAAAAAAAGACGAGTGCAGAGTGCTACGCTTCGCGTTCAGCGCCCACCAATTTGGTGCGTGTGGCCAAGGGCAGCTCCTGCGGTATTGCATTTGCAACACAAACCCAGCGACCTTGTACCTTGTGGGCCCAAGTGGGTCGGATTTTGCTGACGGGTAGAAGTACTTCTTTTTCTTCCGATCAAAGCAAAAGCCTACTCTCCTGGGCTCCTGGCATTAGGTTTTGCTCATTGCAAATTGTCCATGTTATTAACATTGTGAGCAAAGCCATTTCTTTGCGCCTTCCCAGCCCATCGTGCGCCACGATGGGTGCACGATGATTCACACCAAGATCGAACATCATTGAAGCCAGGCCATGAGCCTGGGTCAAAAAAGAAGAAGGCCAAACCAATATTTTCACCAATCGCCAAACTCTCAACGATAACCAACAATGGAGAAGCAAGTGAGTTGTCGTCTCTGCCTCCCTCTTCCAAAGCGTACATAGGCCGCAATTTGGCCACCCACGCCTCATAAGACGACGATCGGCCGTTTGGACCCGATTTTGGATGATAAGCCATCCAATGATCTTGCACTTAGGTGCGCCCAAACCTTCCATATTGGTGCCGGGACGCTGACAAATTGTGTCTTGCATGAGGAGGCCGTGGGGTAGCGAGAGAAGCTCGTCAACTTCCATGTTATGGTATCATCTTGGTCCACATGGAGAGTGATATGAGGTGAAAGACCTAAGGTTAAAGAATTCTTGGAGATGTTGCATTGTCATGCCTTTGTTAGTGTCAATACACCCAAGCATCGTTTAAAATTGCCTTGCTTACACAAAAAGCCTGGGCATAAAACCAAAGACCTAACCCATATAAACTGAAATATATATAAAAGACCAAACTAAAATCACTCGTCAAAACTAGAAGAATGAATTAAATTCGTCAGATCGTCTTCTTTTCTGGATGACAAAATAACCTCGATAGACCGAATTAGCAAATTATTTGGATGCTCAGCATAATTGGCACAATCCCCTGTCTTCCCTAGATGTTTATGGCACAATTCTTGCTGAATACACCTGCTACGTACACGTCATGTGAATTATTATTTTTAACCTACATGTTACACTTACCTGCTGAAGTCCCTTTGAATACACATGTATTGCAATGGACATGAATCTGAGTTGTAGCATGAAATTTGGTCTGTACGGTCGAGACCAAAGACCATCCCGTGAAGATTGAAGACCAAATAATGGAGAACCGAGAACACCGGACCGAGATCACGCATGCTTGTGCGTATTCGAGAAAAAGAACACCGGACCGAGCAAAACAAAAAGACCAAACACCTGGGCTTACCACATGGTTCCAAAATATGTTTCTACTCTACAAAATATGTGTACTCTCGAAAAACATACTACAAAATCTGAAAATTTTGCTCCAGCGGAAAATACACAGCAGAGTTCATATGAAGCAACAAGTTGGTACAAGTGCCGGTTCCCTGAACACACAAGCAAAATGCCTTCCGAGTTAACAGTTCAGTAGTTCAGCGAGACAGTGGCCCAGCGCTCAGGAGTAAAACATCATCTAAAACAGCTATCTGTGGCAAAACTTAATCTACAGGCAAAGGCTTCTTCTACAAATCTTTCTTGGGCGCCTTCCTCTTCATCCGGCTGAAAGGGCCGACCGTCTGGTCCATGACGTACATGTATATCACCTGGCTCCAGGACCTGTATGATTTCAGACTGTCATAGTACTCCGGCGCGATCTCCTTCACCTTGTGCAGCTTGGCGCCGGGGATCCTGGGGAAGTCGTGGTGCTCGTTGTGGTACCCCACGTGCCACGTCATCAGGTTCAG